GCAAGAAAACTCTAGTTACAGGGTACAGTCTTTATTGAAATTAACTTGAACTTAGTGATCACTACTCATTCTCAGAAAGTAAAATATATTGACCCCACAAAAGGTAATGTTATTATAGATAAGGTTAAAATTACTATAAAGTAGATGTTAACAATGCCTTCCAAATTAAAAAATTATAGAAATTGAAGAGGGTAGACAGATATCCTGCAAAATTGAAATATTTATTATTACTTGCAAGAATTAGTCAAACATTAATTTATGCTGGCTCTGAAGTATTGGCCTTGCTTTGTAATAAAAGAAATGACATGTCCAATTAGAGACAACATTATCCAGTTATTGAATCTGTATAAATGATGTCACTATTTTCTAAACAATCTAAGCACCAGATCCTCCCTATAGCTGAATCTTACTAAGCCATGGAATTCATTAAAACAAAAACATGATGTAGAGTCAAAATTGGAACCTTTCATATTATCAAAATTGAGGATTTTTTTTCCAAATGCATGTAACAAAGTTTCCATATGATATGTTTTTCCTTTAACATTTCTGACCATCATACAAAATTCAAAAATGTTATTATTTATAAAAATACTACAAAAGTATCTTCGAACAGTGATAAACAAGTGTATGTCTGTAAGGGTGTATGTGCATATTGGGATTCCAGGCCTTGTACATGTTAGGCAAGTGCTATAACACTAAGCTATACTTCCAACTTCAACAAACATATCTTTAATCTGCTACAATAAATTATCATTTTCATCTAAATGTTAGAAAGTAGATTCAAATAAAGAGCCAAAGCAAATTATGCTCAAATATTTCTATAGCACATGGAATCTTTAGTATCCATTTGTGCTGGCTAGTTTTATGTCAACTTGACCCACACTACAGGTATCTAAAAGGAGGGAACCTCAATTGAGAAAATGCCTCCATAAAATCTGGCTGTAGGGCATTTTCTTAGTTAATGATCAATGGAGGAGTGCCCAGCCCACTGTAGGTGGTGCCATTCCTGGGCTGGTGGTCCTGAGTTCTATAAGAAAGCAGGCTGAGCAAACCATGATTACCAAGCCAATAAGCAGCACTCCTCCATGGTTTCTGCATCAGTACCTGCCTCCAGGTTGGTTCTTGCCCTGTTTGAGTTCCTGTCCTGACTTCCTTCAGTGATGAACAACAAGGTTGAAGTGTAAGCCAAATAAACCCTTTCCTCCCCAACTTGCTTTTGGCCATGATGTTTCATCACAGCAATATTAACCCTAACTAGGACATCACTGGACAAGCAGAAATATTATGAAAAATATACCACACATACCTTTAACACTGTAAGTGTTAAGATACATAAGAAAAAATAAACCTAAATCTTTTCTTCTTCCCATAAATTATTTAATGCAAAAATTTATATAAAATAACTTGGGAGGGAATATAGCTTAGTGGTACAGCACTTGCCTAGCATGTACAAGGTCTTGGGTAAAAAGAAAATCTTGCAAAAAATCTTCCTTCTTCAAAGATCAGGTAAGTTTATTTTGAGATGATACTCATATATTATAGTTCTGGCTTAAAATATTGGTAAAAGGATGAGGGATATTTTTAAATAATGTTTTTAAAAATCCAAATACTGGGTTTTGTTTTTGTTTTTTTGTTGTTGTTGTTTTTTTCAAGACAGGGTTTCTCTGTGTAGCCCTGGCTGTCCTGGAGCATGCTCTGTAGACTAGGCTGGCCTCAAACTCAGAGATCCACCTGCCTCTGCCTCCTGAATGCTGGGATTAAAGGCGTGTGCCACCATCACCTGGCCAAATACTGTTTTAAAGCAGATTTTTTTATTTAAAAAATAATGAAGTGCTAGATAGCAAACTTAGTGCCTCAAGAATACCAGACAGGTATTTTACCACTGACTTTGATAGCACACTTGAAATACTAAAAATAAGACAAATTCCAATAAAAATTTTTGGTGTTAGGTAAAGTAGATCCATGGCCCTTTAAATGCTAGTTAAGTGCTCCACCATTGAGCTACATTCCCCAGCCACAAGCCCATATAAATTTTTGAGTTGCTGTTTTTTTAATCATAAAATGTGGCTTAAAGGGCTTTCCTATAATCCCAGCACTCAGAAGGCAGAGGCAGGCAGATCATCATAAATTCAAGGCCAGCCTGGTCTATATAGAGTTTCAGGCCAGCCAGGGCTACATAGTGAGACCCTGTCTCAATAACTAAAAACAAAAAAAGAACCTAAGATGTTATGATAAAACTACTACAATTTCTGGCTGCAGCATATATGAGACTGTGGAGCAATGATTTTGAGTTCTGAATGTCTTAAGCAGTTAATATTTTATATAATTCCCCTTTATCAAACTAATTCTGATCCTTTCAAACCCCATTTTCAGTGTCAATCAATGGAACAACTTGATTGACACCAGCAGAGGCAATATCATACTGTAGTCCTTTAGGATAAATGCAGTCAGAAAAGCTGGGTAGAGAGTAGAGATCACATGGCTGAATAAGGGTTACACGAGGAAGGAGAAATTTCCTTTCGGAAGAAGCTTACAAAACAGCTTTTTAATTCAGTCCTTCCTAAGATGTGAAGACAGCATGGCATGTTAAGGTCAGATCAAGCAAAATTGTGCACTGGAAACAAAAAAAGAATATCTAAACTATGCTATCAGAATAAAGTATAATTATGACATGATTTCAGTCTATCTAATTTAAATAAGATTCCTACTAGCTAAAACTCTGGCATCATTCTATTGCAGTGGCCCTGCTAACCAGCATCAATTAATGCTAATTAGGTAGACAAGATTCTAAGTACAGTGTAATAAAAAATAAACATTTCCCCTGTCTTTGAAGAAGGAAATTTCTGTTACAACATGGAAAAATCTATCAAAAGCCCTGCCCATGCCCCCCACCTGCAGTGACCTCCATCACCCCAACTAGTCAGTCAAAAGCCAAAGCAACTCAAAGGTCTATCAGGGTCAGTTCAAGATTCTACTTCATGTCACAATGATTACATGCATCTTCTTTAGGGAGAGAAAAACCAAAAGTGAAAGCTGGGCAGTGGTGGCGCATGCCTATAATCCCAGCACTCAGGAGGCAGAGGCAGGAGGATTATCTGCAAGTTCCAGGCCAGCCAGGACTACATAATGAGACCCTGCCTCAAAAATAAAGAGAAAGGGGGGTGGGAAGAACAAAAGAAAGGAAGAAAGAAAAATGAAATAGTGTCATTTGTAAGAAAGCTCATGCAACTGGAAATTATCATAGTAAGTAAAGCAAGCCAGTCACAGAAAGACAACTATCACATTTTTCTCTTTTTTGGATCCCAGATTTTACATAGAAACATAAAATCCTATATGTAAAGGCCACATGATAGAAGCTTATGAGAACAAAGAACACTAATGGGAGAGGAGAGGCGAGAAAGGGGCACTGTGAGTATGGAGGGATATGTTCAAAGTAAATTACATAGTTGTATGAAAATGTCCCTAGGCGATGCACAGCACAGGTTAAGATGGCAGCTGGATTTAAAACTGGGGAACCACAGGAGTGTTACAGGAGCTTTCTGAAAGACAACTAACATCATGATGGAAGAGAACTTAGTGAATTCAGAACCACAACTGTCAATATAGGTTCAATTAGTAACACAGATAGTTCTGCTTTAGTGAAGGTAGGAAATGCCCCACTAATTTGTGGAATTAAAAGTGGAATTGGCAGCAGCACCAGCAGATGCCCTGATAGAGTTCATGTTGTCTCTAATGTAAACCTCTCACCACTGTGTTCATGGAGATTTCTGATTGGACCCTCTGGAGAAGAGGCCCAAGTTCCTTGCAAATGTCATTGAAAATACAAATAATGTGAATTTTCAAAGTAAGCAACAAACAAAAATGTTCAAATCATCAAGTTTTTCTAAGTCGCCTGAGGCAAAGCTCATTGGCAGAGTATATGTTTAGCATGCCTGAAGCCCTGGGTTCAGTCTTACACACATACACACACACACACACACACACACACACACACACACACACACAAAAAAAAAAAAAAAAAAAAAAACTAATTGTAATCAATTAAAAAAAAACTAAGGACATTCCTGGTGATAGTGCTTTCTTTGTAGGCAATATGAACAAAAACATACAAGTTATTGGGTTTTGATACATTCATTCAATAATCATTTAATGATAGCCAGGTGCTTTGCTAAGCACCAAAAGATACTGCATGAACAAGACATATTTCCCCCTTTGAAGAGCTTACAGTCATTTTCACACAAGATATATGTTGATACACATCAATCAATCAACCAGGTTTTCAAAGTTGTAAGTCATCTTAAAATGACAGGAGCACACTCTGATTTTACAATTGATTAAAATACAGCATAAATAAGTTAAGTTGAACAATACCAGAGTCATTAGAAGCAAAGCCTTGAGCAGAATCAAGGCAACTACACTCTGTCTGGCATCCACACATCCCCTTGAAAAACTTAATTCAACAAATATTCATTGACTACCTGTTGTCTGGCAGATGCCGGCCGTCTTAATTCAAATACAAAGATTAACGAGGGAACTGGACAGATGGCTCAGGGGGCAAAGTGCTTGCTCTGCAAGCGTGAAGACCTGAGTTTGATCCCCAGAACTTATTTTTTTAAAAAAGCCAAATTTGATGATGTGATGGTATGCATTTGTAATCCTAGCACTGAGGAGGAGATCCCCAGGGCTTGATGCCAAGTTCCAGGCCAGTAAGAGCCTTTGTCTCAAAAATAAAGAAGGAAAGAAAAGAAAAAAAAAAAACGAGAGTTGATAGCAGCTGAGAAATGATGCCCAAGGTTGTCCTGTGGTCTTGAACACACATACACATACACACACAAAAGAATGATGAGGTAACCTACACCATCAAGAAAAAATAAAACCATAGCACCAGCTGGGGGAATATTTACTTGTCTTTGAGACAGGGTCTCTCACTGTGTACCTCTGGCTAGCCTGCCTCTGCTGCCCAGGTTCTGGGATTAAAGGAAGTGTGCACCACTATGTCCAACATCTGGGAATGTTTTTGTTGAGCTAGTGGACAAAGACTAAAGACAGGTATAAAAATAGATCCTCTTTTGCAACCCAGAACTCATCATTTAGTATGAGTTTTGATGTTTTGATACATATAAGGACTATGATACTTAAAACAATTCAAAGTGTTGATGGTACTGATAAGGCTGGTTCTCTTTCTTTTCTTCCTTTGTTTGTTTGGTTGGTTAGTTGGTTGGGTGGGTGGGTTTTTGTTTTTCGAGACAGGGTTTCTCTGTGTAGCCCTGGCTGTCCAGGAACTAGCTCTATAGGCCAGACTCGTCTTGAACTCAGAGATTCACATGCCTCTGCCTCCCCAGTGCACCAAGACCAGCATAAGGCTGGTTTTTTTTTTTTTCCAGAGCTGAGGACCGAACCCAGGGCCTTGCGCTTGCTAGGCAAGCACTCAACCACTTAGCGAAATCCCCAACCCCAAGGCTGGTTCTAAGAATAAAGAATTCACCATTTAAAAGCAAAAAGAAGAAAATTAACGTGAAAAATTACCATATAAAGTATTTGGTGCTATAACTATAAAGGAAGGTCAGAGTCCCTTTGCCTGCTTGAAGGACACAATTAGGATGTTAAGATAAAGAACACTGAGGAGAAAGCAGCACGATAGCATGGAAAAGCACAGTGAGTTCTGAAGAACTGTAAGCAGCTACATATTGCTAGACAAGAAAGCAAAGGCTGTTCTAGGAAACGCCATTAGAATGGCACATAAGGGGCGAATCTTAAAAGACTGCATGGTACAGTAAGGTTTGATTCTGTTGATCATTCAACCGCTTTCTTTCATAAACTGTTTTATCCTACCTAGTAGGTGCATATGAGATGAGATTTCTACAGAAACCATGCTCTCAACTCTAAACTTTATAACCCTCTTGGCATATTTCTAATAGTGTTGCCATTCCTAATCTGAAAATCCCATTGTGACATTTAAAATGGGAAAAAGATAATTCAAGGGATCCTTCGAGCAAATAAAATTCTTTGAGTTTCTGTGAAAGTTAATTATCTTGAGTGAGTTTCTCTACTAAATTGTTTAGTCTAAATCTGTACTTACTAATATGGTAATAACCCTAAAACGAGAAGTGTGGCTAGTCCAAATTGAGATGTATGGGGCTGGAAGTGGGGCTCAGTGGGGCTGGACATGCGGAGTTGGACATGGGGAGCTGAACATATGGAGCTGGACATGTGAGGCTGGACATATGGAGCTGGACATGTGGGGCTGGACATGTGGGGCTGGACATGTGGAGCTGGACATGTGAGGCTGGACATGTGGAGCTGGACATGTGAGGCTGGACATATGGAGCTGGGCATGTGGGGTTGGACATGTGGAGCTGGACATGTGGGGCTGGACATGTGGGGCTGGGCATGTGGGGCTGGACATGGGGAGCTGGACATGTGAGGCTGGGCATGTGGGGCTGGACATATAGAGCTGGACATGTGAGGGTGGACATGTGGAGCTGGACACGTGGGGCTGGACACATGGGGCTGGACATGTGAGGCTGGGCATGTGAAGCTAGACATGTAAGGCTGGACATGTAAGGCTGGACATGTGGGGCTGGAGGCTAGCAGTTGCACATACCTGTAATCCTAACATAAACAAGGCCCTATGTTCAATCCCCTGTTCTGTCAAAATAAAACAACCCGCCAGGCAGTGGTGGTGCACACCTTGAATCCCAGCACTCAGGAGGCAGAGACAGGTGGATCTCTGTAAATCTGATGTCAGCCTGGTCTACAGAACTAATTCCAGGACAGCTTAGAGCTGTTACCCAGAGAAACCCTGTCTCTAAATAAATAAATAAACAAATAAATGTAAAACAACCCAATAAGTGCTACAATTACAAAATACAAAGCGGACTTCAGGGAATAAAATATCTCAGTAACTTTGTATATGTTGAAACAATAATATTTTGTCTCTGATGAATTAAAAGTATTAAGATTAAAATTCCTGCTAAAATCATTTCTCCTGGGGCTGGAGAGATGACTCAGCAGTTAAGAGCAATTACTGCTCTTCCAAAGGACCCAGGTTTGATTCCCAGCACCCACATGGCAACTCATAACCATCTGTACCTCCAGTTTCAGAAAACCTGATACCTTCTTCTGGCCTCTGAGGGCACCAGGCATGCAGGTGGTGCACAGACAGACATGCAGTCACATTACCATTACACATAAATTAAAAATAAGTGAATCTTTTTTAAAAAATTAACTTCACTTATTTATCTGTTTAGTGTGTCTCCCAGAATATTATAAATTATATTTGTAGCTCATTCATTTCTACTAGACAGGGCTGGTGTTGAGTACATACCATGACCATTTAATTTTGTATACATTTTTGGCAGTTTTGCTATATAGCCCAAGTGGGCCTCAAATCCACAATGTAGTTCAGGATACCCTTAAACTCACAATCCTCCTGTGTTAGCCCCGGGAGTGTTGAGATTACAGGTATATGCCACCACACCCAGCTTTAGTTTCTGAAGACTTTATGAAATAAATAAATAAATAATCATAAATATAACAGAAAAGGGCATTTATATCACAACAAACTAAAGAAATTAAAAATCCAAAGAAAGAAAAGAGAACAAGAATTTGTCTCCAAACTAACCATAAGGAAATGTTCATGAAGCTTGATAACGCCCTTTGTTGCTCATTATGCTGCTTAGGATGGCCTCAAACTAGTTTCCTATCTTGCAGTAATTGTTTTTATGCTTTTTTTAATTTATTTGTGTGTGTGTGTATGTTCGCGCATGTGTACACGTTTAGCTTGTCACCAGTATGGAGGTCAGAGGACAGTTTTCCAGAATTGGTTCTCTCCTTCAACCATGTGGGGCCCAGGGATCAACACAGGTCATCAGGCTTGGTGGCAGGCATCTCTACTGGCTAAGCACATTCACCTGCCCTTACAGTAATTTTTTTTAAAGATCTGCCTCTTTATAGCCCTAAGGTTGAATGGCTTATGGACGGTGGCAATTTTCGGTTAAAAGCATTTAAAAAGCAGGATATCCAGTGCCTAGTTGCCTCGACACCACAGAAGCAAACGCACCTCCTCAAACCCCTGCCCTGAGGCTGAGCTCACTGCCCTTCTTCAGGCCTTACAATTAGGACAAGATAAGATCTTAAACATCTCCATCAGGTCCAACAATAGCTTTCCAGTATCATCTGCCCATCTGCTTGCAACAATTTTTAAATGTACTTTTAACACAGTATTTTTCAGGTTAAACAGTATAATTTTGTATATCCTAAAATTCCTGGAAGAAACTATGGATTGTGGGCAGAAAATAAGCTATGGATTGCGAGTTTTGTTTCATTATACTAGCTCATAAAAGGTTCCAAATGTCTAGTGTTTCTGGCACATAGATGAGAAAGCTGGGGCAATAGATACTCTGAAGAGACACACTTAAGAGACAAACCTGCATGTATATCCTCCGCTATCCAGGGCCTCCAATCCAGGGCTTTACATGTGGAAGGGACACCCCCCCACGGAGCTACTGCCCAGCTCCTTGTTTGTTTGGTTTTGTTCTTTGAGACAGCTACTTGAGGTACAACCTTGCAAATGCTGGGATTACAGGCCAGGTGTGGTGGCTGACACTTGCCCTCTGGATGCTGAGGTCGGAGGATGGCAAGTTTGAGCATAACCTGAGTTACATAAATTCTAGGTCAGCCTGAGACACAGAGTAAAAATTCTGTCTCAAGAAGCCAGAGGTTAAGGGGGTGGGGAAGGATTTAGAAACCTTAAACAATACAGAAAACAGTTTGACATTTCTGTTACCATGCAAAGCTTGGTACCTTTAAAGTCCATGAAGCAAAGGTCAACAAAGTCATCCATTTTTTAAATCCCTGGCTCCAGCCTATGGAACAAGAAAACATTTTAATATTCCATACTTTAGTCTCTAATTCCTCAAAAACACTTTTTTATTTATTTTTATTTTATGTGCCCTGGCGTTTTGCCTGCATGCATGTGTGTGAGGGTTTCAGATTCCCTGGAACTGTCTGGAGTTACAGACAGTTGTGAGCTGCCATGTGGGTGCTGGGAATTGAACCTGGGTCCTCCGGAAGAGCAGCCAGTGCTCTTAACACTGACACATCGCTTCTGCCCCTCAAAAACACTTTTTTCCAGGCATTTTTTTTCCCCATTGCTTATTACCGAAAAGTACAGGGAAGTTGAGGAAGCCGGAACCCCGGGAGGAAGTTGTTAAGGAGGGAGGTCCGGGTTGTCTCACAGCAGAAAGACCGTCACCTTACCTCCCGAGGCCCTCGCTCCCCAAGGCGAGAAGCGGTGTGAGCCGCGCGCTGTGATTGGTCCGCTTGGCACGCACTGCCCCGCCCTCATAGTTCAACCGCTCTCAGCGGCATCCCATCAGCCCCCGCGTTCTTCGCCCCCCCCCCCCCCCCCCGGCTCCTCCCGCTAACGGAAGCCGACGCTTTCTGGCATGGTCCTGCAATTCACACCCCTCCGACCTCATCAAAATGACTGCCTCAGCCCTCCCTCCCCTGGCCACAAACTGCCCGCTCCGACCGACCGTATATTGCTTGGGGCGGCCCTAAACCTAAAAAGTATTCATCAAGTGGCCAATTCTTGCCAGTTCTAAAGCGCCCACCTGGGCTGCAGGTGTGAGGCCCTGGGTTCAATAAAACACACGCGATGAGACCAGCTGACCTGGCTGAAGCACTTCCTGCCCACCCAACCACTCACCGGCGGCTGTGATGTCAGCTCCTCGGCCGGCCTCGAAGGTGCCGAAGGTGCCGCACACACTCCTCCAGGGAGCAAAGCCCCTCCCCTCCACTACGTCATCAAAGGCCCCGCCCAGTTGGCCTTCACCCTCTATTGATCCTAAGCCTTAGAATCCAGTCTACTCTCTACACTGGTTGGAACCAGAATGAGACTCTCCGGGTAGGGGCTGTGATTGATGTCAAGCCAGAAGTGTACTGCCATTCAAGGAAAGGACAGGTGGGCAGCCAGGATTACAAAAAGAAAAGAGCGGGAATCCACATGCATGTACACTACAAAGATAGTGGAGGAAAGTAGATAGTGCTGCTGAATGTTTAAAACTGTCAAGGAATCCAGTACGATAGCTCAGACTTGTAGTCCCAGCAGTCAGAGGCTGAAGCAA